TGTTGACCAAGAGAGCAGACCAGAGAGCAGTGAAGCAGCGGAAGAAACTGCCTGGTATTCCGTCAAATAGGTAGAGCACCGGCCAGAGCAGAGGCGAGCGGCCAGAGCAGCGGCGAGCGGCCAGAGCAGCGGCGAGCGGCCAGAGAGACGGCGACGACCGATACGAGCGGCGCGTGAGATCGGAGGCGGCGCGTGAGATCGGAGGCGGCGCGTGGGTTGTCTGATGAGTGGTTGGTTTATGTTGTTTTGGTCGCCGGGAGTCACAGATCTTCAGTGTGTCAGTGTGTCGTCTGTGTGAGCTCAAGATGAGTAGAAAGAGAGAGATCTGCAAAGAAATGTAAAGGCACTGGCAGTCGGCGGCGGCGCGTGGCAGTGCGTGGAAGGTGCAGCGGAGGTGTAGTTTCAGACGTTAGGTTGCGATGGTGTACTGAGGATGGCGGTAGGTGTGGTTTGATATATCACTACCGGAAATTGCTCAAACACCAAACGCTCCTACCATTCACAGTGGACTTTCTCGCCGGAAATTAAGAATACTATATCTAAAGACATATATGGCTCTGATACTTGATGATTAAAATACTATACAAGAAGCTATATTTATAGCTATATTTAGAGTACTAGGGTTTCCTGTACAAATGGGCTAAGCCCAATACTACTAGGGTTTCCACACCTCTACAGACCATTAACCAGAACCTTTATTTAGAACCTTGGTCCAGGCCAGCTACCCTATTTTGGCCAGGCCCGACCATCTGCTCCGATTTTTTTCCAGGCCATCTTCCCTGGCAAATTTCCGACAACTACCCTATCTCACTTGCCGTCAGCGACCAGGTGTTCAAAATCCGTAGCTTAAAATCATCACGCGTGTGCCACACACGCCTCTGCAAGTAGTCCCAGCTGCCGCACCTCTTAACCCTCCATTGAAACAGAAAATTCTTCCATTCTTATTACTATTATATGCTTAATTCTAATAACACTAAGAGAGCAATGATACTCTTACCTTACTTGCAAGCAAGAATGGAGGCCATTGGATAACTTTAATCTCAATCGATGACGAATATGGCACAAGAAGGAGATCTCTTTCCCTGGCCAATGGTGCCAACAAAAACTATATTAACTTGATAGAATTTCTAAGTTTGGGGATGGAGTAGATAGTTAACATGCAATTCTCCTTCCATGACATTTGTCCAATGAAATCAATGCATAACCACAATACAAATGTAAGGTAGCAATTGCAACCTATTGTTGATCAAGTCTTCCATTCGCATTGATACTATGAACTCATTCCACATTTGAGAGAACTTCGCAATGTTCTTTCGCTCCAACGAATCATCCTAAACAGCAACGATAAATAAAAAACAATACGGTGTATCAAGAGCTATTAAAATGAATGTTTGGGACGGACTGAAACATAAATTATGTCATGTATATATAAATAAGGACAAGGAAAGATTGATATACTCCATTGACTTGTCCGTGCTCCTCTTTTGAATGTGGCACAAGGCGTTCTCTGAAAGCTGAAGGAATAGATACAAATCTAGACCTTAGCATCCCAAGTGTTCTAATCTACTTAAAGGAAAATTGATTAGTCAAAAGAATTATATATAGCAATTCTATGAGGTCCAGGATGTGAAAGACTTTTTACATATGGTGATATCCAACTATCCAAGGGTTCTTCCATTTTAATAAAGAGCAACAATTACCTCGCCAAGGTGACTGAATGCTCCAGTAATCCCTCCTACAATTGTATAAAATATAGCATACCATATTTGTGTATCCAAAAAATAGACCTACAAAATTCATTTGTTAGCGTATGGAGTTAAGGGTCTTGATCTGATCTTTTATTTTCCATTTCATTACATACCAGAACAACTGGACTCCAAATTGCGACCACAACACCAATATTATTTGCCACTGCATCACATGTAAATGTACCTTAATGTGATCATGTATAAACAGTAAACCATAAGGAATTAAGGATGCTAAGCATGAAAGCAAGACATTACGGTTTGGGAAGAACTCATGCCATTCATAGTTAGGCACTCTAATATTCATGATAGTCTTTGTAGGCTGAACTAAAGGCAAAATCTGCAGGTGCAAATAAAAAAGACCGAATTAAAGAAAGAATGGGCTGGGTCAAAGCAAAGACACGTACGAGTTCACTAGCACAAGAGGAATTTATGGGGATGAGAATTTAAATAAAAGTATACCAGAAGTCTAATTTATGGGGATGAGAATTTAAAATGCTTCGGAAAAAGTTTTTATGGGGATGAGAATTTATGAACTTCAGAGGAAATCAAATATAAAAAAACAAAAAAAAGACATTCTGTTAGTGTAATGTAGGAATAGATATGGGCTCTTTACAGTCTATGCTAGCAATAGTGAAACGGGTGTTTCAAGTGTAGGCTATTAAAAGATTGATCTCACAACAAACATATATAAAACATACAGATATATAAAGCCTTGGGCTCCTCCAATAAATTTGAATTTTACGATTGAACTCCAAATCTTAAAACTATTCCATAGTTTGAGGTTTTCCTATGTTTAAAAAACTTTGCAAGGACAAATGATTTGACCGCTCCTGCACCTGCTTCGACATTTGCACGATAAGATGAAACTACAGTGCTATCAAGAGGTTTAGTAATATGGACTTGATTGGCCATGTCTACCAGCAAAAGTAGAAGAGGAGTCCACCTTGAGAGGTCTGCAAGTTATCTTAAGTATTTTATTCAATTAAGAAATTGGGTGAATCGGCCGATTCTTCTAAAATTTATGAAGTTCAAGTTGAAGTGGCTGGATTGGTTGATTCTGTTGAATTATAAAAAATTATACTTAAAATATTTTTATTAATAAGAAAAAAAGTTATATGAAAAATAGCTAAAATGATCGTCTACAGTAACTTCAACCAATACAGCCAGAAAAGTAACTGCATCCTTACTTTTTCTTATTATTGCACGATTCAGCGTGTGGAATCAAAATTTACATGTTTGGTAAAAAAGTTGGCTGATAAGTCTGATAAGACGAAAAATAGGGTCACCAAACGGGCTCTAAATCAGCTTACCTTTTTCAGTCAAATATTATTAAAATTTAGAATTCTATCCTAAAAGGTCAACCTAAAAGAAGGACTAACCCAAAACTTTATAGGATAGTTTGTATTTTCATACGCGGTCAGTGTGAGAGAGCTTAATATGCCCCAACGAGATGGTGGTTCGTTAGAACAGACCAAACTTATAGTCCACGTGCCCACTGTTGAAGCTTACCTCGATCTAATTGCTCGTTAGAGCCTTATCAGCTTTGATACCATATCAAGACTTGGAGTTCCATCCTAAAAAGTCAACCTAATAGGAGGAGTAGCTCAAAGCTTTATATGTTACTCCCTCCGTATTTTTTATTCGCTACAATAGGTGTTGGCACATTTTTTAAGGGTGAAATAGTAGGGGTAATGAATACTGTAGAAAAAGTAGGAGAGATGGTGGAAAAGTATGAAAGAAAAGATAAAAAGTAGAAAAAGTAAGGGTAGTTGAGTATTTTTAAAGGAAAAATTTACCAAAAAGGGAAAGTGTAGCAAATTTTTGAATGCATCCAAAAAAGGAAAGTGTAGCAAACAAAAAAATACGGAGGGAGTACTTTGTATTTTCATATGTAGTGAATGTGAGATATCTTAATACGCCCCCGAAAGATGGTGGCTTGTCCGAGCAGACCAATCTTGTAGTTCGTATGCTCGTTGTTGAGACTTATCCGGATCTAATTGCTTGTTGGAGCTTAATATGCTTTAATATCATATAAGACTTGAGATCTATCCTAAATGGTCAACCTAATAGGAGGAGTAATCCAAGGCTTTATATGTTAGTTTAATTTTCATACGTGGCCGGTGTGGGATAGCTCAATAAATATCAGTTTATCTAATAACATCAGCTTACCTTATTTTAGTCAAACTTTCAAATATCAGTTATTAAGTTTGTAATAGATTAGATCTCTTTCATACTGACGTTTTAGGACTTATGTCTTTTGTATTCATAAATCTTATTAGTTGTAAGAGAATATTTAGTTCAGGAATTAACTATTCCTACAATCTATTGGTGGAACAACTGATCACCTTCCTTTCCTAGGCAGAAAGTTGGATTTGTATACTGAACCATATATTCCAATCCTTCTCTTCCTTATCAATGACCTTGGAATAGATCTTGTATCAAGGTCTATAACAATTAGGCACCGGCATTCAAGGCGAAGGGGAATGATAACATCAACAACAATACATTCAAATACTTCAACTTCTGATAAGCAGAACCACAAAGGCCAGTTCAGTTCCGGATGGCCACTTGGCCTATAATCAAAACCAACCCACCCATGCTCACTTGATGTCAAAATGCTAATTTTGACCCTTCTATAGCTATTACCAGAGTCCTAATAACAAAAGGAAATTTAAGAGCTGATAGACTACTAATCTAATTAAAACTTAAAAAATGGGAAATAAGAAGAATAATTGAATTGGGACTGCTTTTCTTAAACCAGAACTTCTGGTGTAAGAAGGCAGTCCTGGTCATTTAGCCGGCCCAATCAGCCACTTTTAGTGCACCCTTCAGTGCCACCCTCTGCATGGGGCCTCTAGGTCCAATTTCGGTTGATGACGTCGCTGGTAAGTATGGCCCACGAAGGCGTCCACATCAAGGTCTTAAACAATTAAAGCTCTATGTATAAATAGTTCTGTATCTAGTGTATGTGAGGTTGACGAGAAAAATAATTCACATGACAGTGTACTTCAGATTGGAAAATAACACACCTATAGGCTATGCCAACAAGACATCAACAACGGGACAAAAAACGAATATGTGATACTGTTAGATATTTAAATTTATCCGTACATATCTATTTAATTGTAATTAGATAACTATTGTACTTAGTCAGAGTTGTTAGCATAGTTTTAGCTTAGATCCTAATTTTTAGGAATTAGTTGTTGTGGTGTATTCTATTTAAACTGGCAGTCTGAGAATAAAATAATTTATTCCGCCTCAATCAATTTTACTTTCATGGTATCAGAGCCGCTGATCTCTCAGCCACTAATCTGTCTCAGCCGCTACTCTTTCAGCCGCTGATCAATCATGAAATCTCCTTCCGGTAGCGCCGATTCAACCAGTGAGTCTAGTCACACTGGCGGTGCAAATCCCACATCTCAATCTGATTCTTTTCAGAATATTTCTATTACTTCTCATAAATTAAATGGGAGTAATTACCTTCAATGGTCTCAGTCTGTCAAATTGTTCGTTCAAGGACGGGGGAAATTTGGATATCTCACCGGATCCACAGCCAAGCCGGAGGAAGGAGAGGAAGGACTTGATCGATGGGAAGCTGAGAACTCCATGATCATGTCATGGCTTGTGAATTCGATGGATTCAGATGTTGGTCGTGCCTACTTGTTTCTTCCAAGTGCACATGAAATCTGGACCGCCGTCAAGGAAACATATTCAGACTTGGGAAATGTCAGTCAACAATTTGAGATCAAGAATCAATTAAATAAAACACGACAAGGAGACAAGAGTGTCACACAGTATTACACTGAACTGAGTACTCTGTGGCAAGAGTACGATCTGTTTTGCAACTACACCTGGAAATGCGCAGCAGATAGTGCATTATATTACAAGACCATCCAGAAGGAGAGGGTCTTTGACTTTCTGGCTGGACTAAACAAGGAACTTGATGAAGTTCGAGGTAGAGTACTTGGAAAAGACCCACTGCCCAGCACTCGGGAAGCATTTGCAGAAGTTAGGAGAGAAGAAAGTCGTAGGCATGTGATGCTTGATGCTGAAATTTCATCAAATGCTGAAACTATAGCGCTAGCCACTTTAAAAGCTTCAAAAGCTGATGAGAAGCCAGAATTGTCACCTCAACCATTTCAAAAGAAGGAGAACAGACCTGTTTGTGACTACTGTCACAAGATTGGGCATATCAAGGCTAAATGTTGGAAGTTATATGGCAAGCCAGCTAACTTTGCACCAACAAATAGGTCACAGCGAAATTCCAGAGGTGGTTACCAGGTCTCTTCAGAAGAATCTAATGCGTATCTATCCTCCAGTGACAACTCATCCATCAAGGAAAACTTAGATCAATTGTGTCGTATCCTGAGTACACATCAGTTTGCTAGTAACCTGAACCAAAGCCCATCTGATCCTTCATCTTCATTAGTTCAAAAAGGTACATATGCAGCAGCGTTTAACCTTAAATTAGATAAATCCGACCCTTGGATCATTGATTCAGGGGCCACCGATCATATGACTGGATCTTCATATATGTTTTCCACATATTTCCCTTGTTCTGGTCATCAAAAGGTTAAAATTGCAGATGGTTCCTTGTCTGCAATAGCTGGAAAAGGTTCTATTGTTGTCTCATCTTTACTCACTTTAACAAATGTCCTACATGTGCCTAATCTATCATGTAATTAGTTATCAGTCAGCAAAATAACCAGTGATTCTAATTGCCTTGTCAAATTTGTTTCTTCTGGGTGTGTTTTCCAGGAGCACAGCTCGGGGAAGGTGATTGGTAGTGCACATGAAAGTGGTGGACTCTACTATTTTACCTCAGAAAATCTTCAATGTAAACAAGTTCAGAATCCATGTTTCTCTAGTTACTTATCTTTAGAAAATGAAATAATGTTATGGCATTATAGATTAGGCCATCCTAGTTTTGGTTATTTGAAACATTTATTTCCTATATTATTCAAAAATAAAGATGTTGAAGTTTTTCAGTGTGAAATTTGCCAATTGGCTAAACATAAGAGATCTGTTTATCCCACTGTGAACTATAAACCATCCAAACCATTCTCCTTAATTCACAGTGACATTTGGGGACCATCTCGTGCCAAAAGTTATTCTGGGGCAAGGTGGTTCATTACATTTATAGATGATCACACACGAAAAACTTGGATTTATCTTCTTAAAGAAAAATCTGAAGCTGCTGAAACATTTAAAAGGTTTTATTCTATGATTCAAACTCAGTTTCAGTCTCAAATCCAAGTTCTTCGAACTGATAATGGAAAAGAGTATTTCAATAAAATTCTTGGAAATTTTTTGATCCAACAAGGCATAATCCACCATAGTTCTTGTGTTGATACACCTCAACAAAATGGAATTGCCGAAAGAAAAAATAGACATCTTTTAGAAGTTACTCGAGCTCTTATGTTTTCAATGAATGTTCAAAAACGTTTTTGGGGAGAGGCCTTACTTCATGCTGCTTATCTAATAAATAGGATGCCAAGCAAAATTCTAGGCTATCAAACCCCTTTAAAAACTCTACAAACATTCTTTCCTCATAATAAAATTTTTACTGAATTACCCCATAAGGTTTTTGGGTGCACTAGTTTTGTTCATAATCATGCTATTAATCGCAGCAAATTGGATCCTAGAGCTATCAAATGCATATTTTTAGGTGTTTCAAACACTCAGAAAGGATATAAGTGTTTTGATGTGAGCTCGGGTAAAATGTTTGTTAGTATGGATGTCACATTCTTTGAAAATCAGCCTTTTTTTAATAAAACTTCTCTTCAGGGGGAGCATTTAGTAAATGATGAAGATAAGTTTTGGAAATGCAATGTACTTCCTCTCCCTGTTTTTAATGACCAAACTGAGTTAGCCAATGATAAACATACCATAACAAATAATTCTACTCCTCATAAAGAGTCTGCAACTATGAGAAACATGGCACCAACTACTGAACTTCGTGTTTACTCAAGAAGGAAAGAGAAAAAAAAGGTTATTCCACAACTCACTGATGCACAACCAATCCCTACCCCAAGTCCTGCTCCAGGTAATACACTTATTCTCCATCCAACTCTTGAGAAAAATCAGGTTTTTGATCACAATAATTTAAATCCTACCTCTGAGTCAGTTTTTGTGCCTAACCAAAGTGATCTCAATGAGCCAATAGCCATTAGAAAAGGAGTTAGAGAATGTACCAAACACCCAATCAGTAACTATGTGTCATATCATAACCTATCACCAAAGTTTAAAGCCTTCACCACTAGCATTACTGATGATGAAACTCCTAAAACGATACATGAAGCTCTAAGTATTCCAAAGTGGAGAGAGGCTGTTCTAGAAGAAATGAGGGCATTAGAAAAGAACCAAACTTGGGAATTGACAAAACTGCCACCCAACAAACATCTGGTTGATAGCAAATGGATTTTTACCATCAAATACAATTCTGATGGTACGATAGAAAGGTACAAAGCTAGACTTGTAGCTAGAGGGTTTACTCAAACATATGGGCTAGATTATGAAGAGACATTTGCTCCAGTTGCAAAGCTCAACACTGTCAGAATACTTCTTTCTTTAGCTGCAAATTTGGATTGGCCACTACTACAACTAGATGTTAAGAATGCGTTTCTTAACGGAGACTTGGAAGAAGAAGTATTTATGCAAGTTCCACCTGGATTTGACAGTAATACTACTGCAGGAAAGGTGTGCAAACTGAAGGCCTTATATGGACTCAAACAATCTCCTAGGGCCTGGTTTGGAAGATTTGAAAAGACTGTAAAGAAGCGAGGGTACACTCAAGCACAATCAGATCACACTTTGTTCTACAAACATAGTGCAGAAGGTAAAGTGGCAGTACTAATTGTATATGTGGATGACATAGTATTGACAGGAGATGATCAGGGAGAATTGGCAGCATTAAAGAATTTCCTAGCTCAACAATTCGAGATAAAAGATTTAGGAAATCTCAAGTACTTTCTTGGTATGGAAGTCGCTAGATCCCAGAAAGGAATTATGATCTGTCAGAGGAAATATGTACTTGATTTGCTGAAAGAAACAGGTCTCCTTGGATGTAAACCTGTCTCAACTCCAATTGATCCAAATCAAAAATTTGGAAGAACTGGAAAAGAGGAAGTTGTGGACAAAACTAAGTATCAGCAACTTGTTGGGAAGCTTATCTACTTAGCTCACACAAGACCTGACATAGCATTTGCAGTAAGCTTAGTCAGCCAGTTCATGCATAACCCAACTGAAGAACATGTTAGAGCTGTCTACAGAATTATCCACTATCTTAAAGGTAGCCCTGGAAAAGGAATTTTGTTCAGGAAAACTCAAAACAGACAAGTTGAGGTGTATACAGATGCTGACTATGCTGGCAGTAGTATTGATAGAAGATCTACATCAGCTTATTGTACTTTTGTATGGGGGAACCTGGTCACGTGGAGAAGCAAGAAACAACATGTTGTATCAAGGAGTAGTGCAGAAGCTGAATTTAGAGCAATTGCACAAGGGATCTGTGAAGTCATATGGGTAAGACGCATGCTGAACGAGTTGAAGATGCCATTAGAAAAGCCCATGAGGTTATATTGTGATAACAAGTCTGCCATTAGCATAGCACATAATCCAGTGCAACATGACAGAACTAAACATGTGGAAGTTGATCGGAATTTTATCAAGGAAAAACTCGAGGGTGGAGAAATATGCATACCTTATGTGCCAACAACTGAGCAACTAGCAGATGTACTAACTAAAGGGCTCTTCAAGCAAATGTTTGAAGAAATTTTAGTCAAGCTGGGCATGATTGATATCTTTGCTCCAGCTTGAGGGGGAGTGTTAGATATTTAAATTTATCCGTACATATCTATTTAATTGTAATTAGATAACTATTGTACTTAGTCAGAGTTGTTAGCATAGTTTTAGCTTAGATCCTAATTTTTAGGAATTAGTTGTTGTGGTGTATTCTATTTAAACTGGCAGTCTGAGAATAAAATAATTTATTCCGCCTCAATCAATTTTACTTTCAGATACCAACAAAATCCAATTCTTAGCAACTTAAGTGAGCCAGATAATTGCACAATTATAATGTAAGACAAAAAATACCTCCACATAATAGCTGAATGCCAACTTGCTGATGAGCAGAAAGATCCAGAAAAATGTATACCTGAGAAGAGAACAGAAAACAACTATTGAAAGGAACCCTAGTGCTCTTGAAGAAATAATAACTCCCAAGAAATGTTAGTGCCCTTATACAGGGCCATTATCTGCATCAACAGTTTGTTGGGAAAAAAGAAAACGCTAAAAATTTATATGCATGGAGGTGCATCCATGTATAGAAGAACTCTTTCTTACTTGAATAGAGAAATCATGTCTTCATGCATGCCTCTTCCAATATACAGCTTTGGCTGCAACTTAAAGAGATATTATTAGAACATTAGTATGGAAGGAGTACCTTTACAAGGAAATGGCAAAAAAAGATGCTGCTGACCTGAGACCACCACATTAGTAGCACAACAATACGCCAGTTTGATTTTTCCATGGATTTTCTCATACAAGGAAACATAAAAAGAAATGCAGCCAATATGTTTGGCATCAAGTATATGCCAACACAGTAGTAGTATAATGACTGGTTTGGTATAATTCCTCCCAAATTGTTGAAAAATCGCACAACTCCAGTGGGATTCTGAATAGATTTAGAATAAGTAATAGGCAAAAGAACCACCCAGAGTGCAGCAACCACAAGTTTCAGTAGATAGCGAAGTATCTGCGTAAATCTCATGCTCCTCCATGCATTAAGGCTGAGGATTATATCCAAAACAGCTGCAAAAATTGACAAGAACTTGAAAAGAATCTCATGGAATGGGAACATGAATTATTTTCCAGATTAACACAAAGAATAACAACCAAATTGGAATAACTTGAACTTGTACAAACTAAGAGAAACAAAGAAGATTGTCTTTCTGATTGATATCATGAATGAAAAAGATGTTAGATTAAATACCACGCCAAAAGTGCAGAATAGCAGCAGTTATAAAAATGCTCAAGATGCTTTTGAACATGTCCTCATCAAAAATCTCAGACAGGGATCCTGAATTGTTCCATGCAATAATAATCATCACCTGGAAACCCAGAAATATGGGAAGAAATGTTATTGAAATTAAATGTAATATGAGCATTTAAGTGCAGATTAAGTCTGTTTAGCATTATGTACTTCTAATTTGCTGAGATTTGAGCGAGAAATGGGGGAGCACACATTGAGGGTATAGAGAATGGAGTAAAGGACACATATATAATGTGCTACAATAACTTCTTTTAATTATCCAGAGTTTATATGTGTGCATGTGTAAGTAGGGTTTGGTTCTAGCGAGAAGTACAATTAATGTGGAAATGTACAAAGCAAACTTATACTTCATGGCATTTCACTTTAGCCTTTAGGCTATGTTTGGCATTATGAGCTAAAGCTTGAGACTAATGTATGAATTAAGGGCTATTGTCTGGAACTAAATTTTGAAGTGCTCAATCTGAACTGCTAGTTTATATGTGTGCATGTGTAAGTAGGGTTTGGTTCTAGCGAGAAGTACAATTAATGTGGAAATGTGCAAAGCAAACTCATACTTCATGGCATTTCACTTTAGCCTTTAGGCTATGTTTGGCATTATGAGCTAAAGCTTGAGACTAATGTATGAATTAAGAGCTATTGTCTGGAACTAAATTTTGAAGTGCTCAATCTGAACTGCTAGTTGAATGAAGTAGACCCGTTTGGCAAAAAGAGCTGAAAGAATGTCTCAATAATATGAATTTACGTTAAAGGTCATATAAGTCTTTAATCAAACAAAATATTTATTACTACATATAACAATTCTGTTTTACGGAGTATTAAATATGGAGTAGGAAATTTGTAAAACTTGAAAGTACCCAAAATTATGCCTCTCATCGATCTTGGGAATTTAGTATGAGAGTACTCCCAACAAACTTCCCCCATCTCTCATTATTCCCACAAATGGTAACTCACACATCTCCCTCATTGAGTTAGAGACCTTACCCCTTTTGCCTTAAGATCACATCTCGTTCCTCACCTTAAGATCACATCTCGTTCAATCCAGAATCTATGGATGTATGCATGTAAGTGTGTGTGTTTGTCTGGCTTGTTTCCCTGATTCCAGCCTAACTTGACTTGAGTACTTGACCATCTACTAAAATATACTCCCTCCGTCCCAAACTCAGGTTCTCGCTTTCCTTTTCAACCACCCAAAATAAAATCTGTGTTTCCTTTTATAGAAAATTCTGTGCAGATCATATTTTTCCACTTAGCTCTAAAGAGATCTCAATCTAACATTTATCTTAATAAATATGCGAAGTCAAACCAGGAAGTCAGGAACCTTATTTTGTGACGGAGGTAGTTACTAGTAGCATGTAAGGGAGTAACAATCATGTCTCAAGATACCTGGAGAGCCAATATAAAGAATGTCCAGAAGCGATCAAAACTCCTATAGAGATGCCAAAAGGTACGAATTTCAACAAAATTTGTCTTTGGCTTCCTCTTTCTTGTAGCAACATTGTTACGGTCCTGGAGAGTTGACTCTGGGTAAGAAGTAATTCACTATAAAAGGAAAAACTACATATACCATATTCCATTTAGAAATAATGACAAAAATAATTATTCAGACTTTTAAGAGGACAAAAATGATTCTTCAGACTTTTAAAGGACAAAAATAAGACATCTTTTATATATGGACAAAAAGGAGACTAAAAGTTAATGAATGATCTAAAGTACCCTTAATTAAACACCTCTGGGCTTTCTTTCTAGTTCTCACGCATCATGCATCACCCCTCTCTCCTTTTCACGTCTACTCCACCTAGGGCTCCTGAGAAGACGGTGGCAGTGGTCACTGGACGGGCGAACATCGGTCACTGGACCGGCGAGCGTTGGTCACTGGACGGGTGGACAGGCACGTCACTCTGACGTGGGTCACTGTAACGCTGGTCGCTGAAGAGTGACTGTAGTAATTGGTCAATTGGGGAGGATATAATGGTCCTCCAACTCCTTTTAGTCTCTCTTTTAGTAATTAAAAAAATGTCTCTTTTTGTCCATGAGTTAATTTTTAGTATTATTCATGTCCTAATCCCATCAATTTAAATAGGATATCTTTGGTCAAATACTTAAAACTGACACATGAAATATCAATGAAATCAAATAGACTTTTCAAAGAACAACCCAATAACTTAAAAAAAACCAATAATTTATCATATGTCTAGTGCTAACTAGGGAACATTAGAGGGGCTAACCATATATCTTATCACCTTACGGTGGTATTAGCCCAATTAAGTACAAAATTAAGATGTAACCCAAAGTTTTGTGTTCAAGGCATTTGTATAAGCAATACCAATTAGGTTGAATGTGGAAGATTCAGTAAGTGGCTAAGCAAGAACACATCAGCGTGTGTAGATACTTGTGTTTACATTAACATTTTAGTGTTCTTACGAGTCAGATCAAGTGTTGGGGTAATGGTTCAAGCATATGATTCAGCACAATATCCTCATTTGCAGAAAACTAAGTGCTGGTAGATTCCTTAGAAGACCGAGTGTGCATCCTTCAAGTTGCCCGTAGATATGAGCAAAATATTTTATATGTTTGCCACAATATTTTTTAATCTCATCTCCAGGACTAGGAGTAAACCAGTACTCTTGTACATGTAACTTCATCATTTTATTTTATGCTTATTGGCCTGTTTTAAGCATTAATAGTTTAGTCAGTGTCCTTGTTTCATTCATTACACTACTTTCATGCGAGTTTTCTGATGTTCTAATGTTTAGGAATTCCCCTCAAAACAAAATGCAAGGAAAACCTTTAGAATAGAAAAGCAAGACTGAAGTGAAAAGTTTAAAGTAGAGTTTTACTTTAAAACCAATGGTCAGGCTTTAGAAGACCCAGTTGGTGAAAACCAATGTTTACAGATCTCAAGGCTTAAGGCTTTACTAGGTTACAATCTACTGGTAACTTAGAGATCCACTGCTTCAGTCTAACTTTGTTAGAGTGAAGATACAGGGAAATAATGAAGAATTTATTAATTCAAATGAAGAATAGGGAAAGATTTGAGACCATCTCCAAGATTATATGCTAGAAAGGATTGCATAAATATGACTACTCCCCCCCCCCCAAAAAAAAAATGAAATTAACCTTTGTTCAAATAATTTAAATTTCTTCACCCTCTATTCCCTGCCCAACTGCCAATCCACTCCGCCTGCTCCTGATCCCACACTCTCCCCTGCCCCACCCTGCAGCCTCCATAAACCGCTGCCATGGACCACCATCGGATTGGGTTTTTCTGTTTTTTTTTAATTCAGAAGAAAAAGTCATCAGATTTGTTTTACCGGTGGTCACACTGACACGTTCTACAGCGGGTGTGACACTAGTGGCGCAGACGGTGACACTGGTGGCGGTAGGAATGACACCGGCAGTAATTAGTAGTGAAATAATAATCCAGCAATGACATAAAAAATTGTCAATGATATTCATAGTTTACAAATTTAGTAACATGTTTTTTCATCATTTGCAATGGAGCCAAAGATTCACTATTTTTTGGCTTGGGAATATGATGGAATAAAGCAAAATGGTTCACTAAACTGTTTGCGCTTCTTTGCTATGAAGCAACAGTCAGTTCATGCAATTGTTTAAGCAATTTTCACCATGGGTCATCCGGAAACAATCTCTTTGTGTTTTAGTACAAGGGAATGATGTTTTCTTTTGGACTGTTTTCAGTCCCAGTCCAGATCAGACCAGACTTTTTTTTTATCATAGATCAGACCAGACTTAAACAGACCAAACAGACTTAAACAGACCAGATCAGACCAGACTTGGACAAATATAAATACACATAGACCAGACGTTTACCAGACCATACCAGACCAGACTTAATCAGACCAGACTAGATCGGACTAGACCAGCAAATTTCAGTCCAAAAGAAAACACCCTAAGACTGTGTACATCCCGACC